CTAAACAAGGGGCAGAAAGGGATTCACTGTTTTGGGCTAAGCTGTAACTTTAGTGTTTTTTCCTTTTTTTCCTTTTCTTGAGGTTCTTTGTTGCTCTTGGAAGATAAGTGTGTTTGTCTTCCTCTTGTAAATCTTCTATCGATGATTTAATGAAAGTGTTATTGATAAAAAAAAAAAGTTAGCAAAATATTGGGTTTATGCTTGTTAGGTGGGGAAGAATTTGTGAATGAAGCATTCAGAGAGAGTCGGAGGAAAGAAGTAGGGTGAGGATGAGAAATGAGAAAATTCAGAGGCTGGTGGTAACATTGATACCTTCATGGCCCAAGAGAAGTTGATTTCAGGTGGAGGTGACGAGGAAGCTGTAAAGGGGGAAAGAGAGAAGAGAAGGAAGAAGGGATGTTGGAATCTGGAAAAGTAAGGTTGGGTTGGTAATCTCAAAGGAAGTTGAGAAAAATCTACAGAGTGACCGAGTCAGACGCTTCAAGAATCAAAGGAATCAGCATCAGATACAGGTTTCAAAGATGTTCACCAGGTTGAAAGGCGGCCTGCTTGTTGTAGGTGTAGGTCCTAACAAGGTATGAAAGAAAACAAAAAGGTCATCAAAGAGAAGAAAAGTGAATCTCATCCAGGGAGCTAAAGAATCGAATTAAGACAGAAACATCACCTGGTTGGGTTGTGGGTCAGATTGTTATTGGGGGTTGCTCATGTCGTTTATTTGGGGTTTCTGGGGGCGTGAAGGACTATAATTATGGTGTTTTCATGTTTATATGAACTGAAAGGATAATAGGGTTAAAGGGTATAAGATGCGTGTGGTTAGGTGGATGCAAAATCTATTGTCAATTGGGGTTCTACATCACCTTCCTTTGTAATTTCTTTTTCCTTCTAATAAAACATTTCATATACTTTCAAAAAAAAATGGCTACTGTCAATTGGGGTTCAGCATATGGTGCATTTAAACTCAATATAGACCAAAGAAGTGAGTACATAGAAAATGTAGGAGGCCATTGTTTGATGGAAGGTTTTGATTGATCACCATCCCTTGATGTAACATTTACTTTTTGATGACTAAATAAATCAAATATCTGGTGTCATCTTATTGAACGGGATAGTAACAGAACTTAATGCTCTATGCATTTAAGAGGACCAAAATATTATACATAATTTAGGAGAAATAAATGTCTTAAGTAGGAATTCAGAAATCAGGAAATGGCTGATTTGGTCATTTGGTTTAGAATATGGTCAGAAATGAACCTAGGAGTAACTCCAATAGGTGATTAAAATAAGGCATAGAACATCTACAACAACAACCATAAGAAGCAATCTGTTGTAAGTTGAAGGGACTGGAAGGAGCTAGGGGCAGACCAAAAAGGAATGCACTGAAGTAGTAAGAAATGATTTAAGTGCTCATAATTTATCAATCGTATGACACTAAATAGAATGGAATGGCAAAACAGGATTCATGCAGCTGACTTCATATAGCTGGGACAAGGCTTAGATGATGATGATGATATTTAATTTTTTATAATAACTAATTATTTCTTGGCATATTTAATTTAAGTGTTAGCTTTCAATTAAAATATTGTAGGTTCAAACTCCCATTCAAATTTGAATATCATTTTATCAACTAATCAGATTTGTGTACACAATAAATGAAAATGTGACTGGATCAAATTTGGTTATTCTCAGATCTTATCCAAATCAAACTCATCAACCAATTAATTTTAAGTTGTAATAACTAATTATGATGTTCTTTTAAGTCCTATTAATCCATATAAGTTTTCTCTGTGGTTTTTTCTTTTGTTCTTAATATTTTTGCCCACTTTTTTTTATTATGGCAGAAATGTTTTCTCACTTCACTTTTTCTTTGCATTGTAATTGCTGGACTATGCAATACTTGTTATTATAAATATAAAATGTTGTGATCTTCATCTTCTATGGTTTTGCTGCATCAGGAGATGAAACTGTTAGCAGAAGTAGATCAGCCTGGTAGTCTCATTGACAACTACGTTACCCAGTTGAGTTTTGTTCTTTCGCGCAAGGCAGCAAGTCTGGTTAGCCTTCAAGCTCGTTTGGCAAGATTCCAGCATCGCCTGAAAGAACAAGAGATACTGAGCCGCAAGAAGGTTCCTCGTTAAGTCAGTTCAAGGTTCCCCCTCCATTTCAACCCAAGGCCTCCTTTGTGAATCTTGCATCTCAAAAACGGCACCATTTTGTGTTGGTAATCCCTTGTGGTTTCTTTAACTTGTTACCATATCATTGTGGTCAATTGTTAGAACATTTCATTATATTTGTACATTGGCTGCCCCCTCCCCACCTTCCTTTTTTCTTCCTGGGGGAGATATAGATTTATCTGAATTTCTGTTCTCCTTGCCCCTTCTATTCTTAAACATAATTTTCAAGCAAGGAGCTGCGTTACATGGAGGTGCCAGGGAGTGCATGTGTCTTTGAGCTCATGACGCTAATCAATTTGCAACTTTCTACCTTGGGAGAATCATGGTTGATTTTGGAATTTGTTGTCCAAGGAGATCATTATGTAATCAAATGTTTTGTTTCCGTTGAGAGTTTGGTAGTTAGAAACTGGGACTTAAGCGGAACAGGGCCAATTCCTAGTCAGTTTAGTTTGCAGACGGATGAAATAGAATTTACAAGATATATCACACTTTATTTCAATCTGTTGCTTCCGCTCTTCGCAAGACACCCTTGTTTTTAGGGATTAGGATTTAGGAAGCATTGATTTTCAAGGGTTGCAATTTCTTTTTTTTATGACAGCAATTTTTGAGAGGCCGGAAGGGTCTGAAACTAGAAGAGCTTTGATCAATCAGACTTCCCCTGGATGAATTTTGATAAATATCAGCCTATTGGTTATCAGTCTGCGAGTTTGGGGTTGTACTTCACAATGTCTTGAAATTACTATCATTCATATCTTATTGTCAGAATCGTTACTAATTCGTATCTGAAATTATCAATTACATGTCAAAGCATTATATTTACCTAGGTAGAAACTAGAAAGTTAAGGCTGTACAGCACAGAGGGGAGGCAACAAGCCCTCTCTTTTGTCCCATTAGGGAATGTTTGGTTTACAATCCGAATCAAAAGTAAAATCTACTGGAACCCGAATTGAAATGGTCTAATTAATCTGAATGAAAATTGGAATCAGTTAGAATGGAATTTTAAATGGTAATGGGGGAATGTCACTCCCATTCCATCAAACAGTTGGAATTGAAATGGCCTATTCGCATTCTAATTTCAGACCCCTATTCCTAAATAGACCTCCGGTCATGTTACCTCCAAGATATTTCCACATCAAATGTTATCCCTGAGTTTCCACTAAGACTCATCCTACTCACAGACATCCGGTCATCCTCTATCCTTTAGGGAAATCAACATCCTTTGCCTTGCCACTCCACTTACAAAATGTTATCCGCACTCCAAAGACTGAAACTATCATCAACAATGGTTTGGGATTGTATGGGTATAGACGTCGAGTCTGTTATACATTGCTAAACAATGCATAGCCACACAGGGTCCAAAACTGGTAACAGAAAAAGGAAAAACCAAAGAAAACAATAGATGGCGAAGAAGCAGGAGTTTCATCACCTATCCTCAATCAATTTCTCTTCCTGTCTTCTATTACGTACAAAGAAAAGAGCTACTTTAAATGGTGACAATGAACAGTGTTAACTGATGTGAACGCCACAATATTCTCCAAATAGGTAGGTGCAAGAGACGGAGAACAAGAGAAGTATCCGCCAATCGGTTAGGGTTTGTAAGAAAAACATAAAGATTAACTGCAATATTTGGTTGTTCAACTTTGATTTACTTTTTTTATTTTATTTAAATATTTTTATTAAATATGAAAAATGAAGATGGAACCGATTGGCAAAACAGGATTCATGTAGCCAACCCCATATAGTTGGGATAAGGCATGGATGAGAATGATGAAAAATGAAGATAGAAATGGTTAGCTCTCTGTCTATGCCTTTCACACGCTGAGGGATTTTGCTCGTGTAGTGAAACAAGTGCCGTTCCATGAATGAGAGGACATTGAGATGGGCAGAGGGAGAGAACAGACGATCCCAATCCACACATGATTGTATTCCTTGCAGATCCTGAGATCCCGATAAAAAAGAGATAAATAGAGGCAAAAGCAGAAACAATAGAGAATTCATTTGCTTTGATAAGAATGCATTTGATTCCATCCCAAAATTCTGTTTTTTTATTTCTATTTTTAAAGGACCTGGCCTAGCCCTTAGCTCAAACCTTATCCAATCTCCGCCCTACCTTATCTTAAGTCTGATACTCTGATCTACCTATGTAAATACATATATGCATTTTTTTTTTTGATAAATCATACAAATATGTATGCGTGCATGGATATATATCAGTTGATTGACCAATTTGAGCAAACCTGAGGCTTGAGCCAACTCGAATGCATCAAATTTCAATTCAGGGTAGGCCTGAGTTAAACCTGGCCCATCCTCCCTACTTGCATCCCTAGCGAGAGAGAGAGAGAGCCATAATTTCATACTTCATCACATTACATGGTTCATGAAAAAAAAATGAAAGAGAGAGAATCACAATTTCATACCATGGTTTTTAAAACTGACCCAGTGAACAAACCGGTCAGGGGTCCGATTATCGGTTCGAACGATCGGCCCGCTCTAACAAAAAATAAAAAAACGGTTAAAACTGTTTGAACGGTTTGAATGATTAATCGGCCGGTTCAGTGGTTTGCTGACTACGATTTTAGGAAAAAATGGAACTGGTCAGGTGACCGGATCCTGATTTTCCAGTCCAATCCGATTTTGAAAACCATGTTTCATACTTTACCATCAATTATGATGATGTGTGGTGCATGACTTGTGTCGACAAGGAAAGGGGCTTGGCTCTCTTCCGTCCCCTACCTCCAATAATTTCTGTCGGATTAAGAGAAAATAAAAACAAAATTTGATGTTTAACTTGAACTTGCATCTCATTTATCAATTAAGTTGGTTGCTATGTAATAGTTTCATCAATGGATAATAAAAAATACCAAGTGATTCAGCTTACAAGGTGTGTTATCATAGTTTTCGCCTCACATCACAAAGAGCAAATTCTACGTTCATTTATTTGTTAATGTTTTTAATTTTTAAGATTTTTCTAATGAAATTAACACAAACAGGGCATAAATTGTATACACAAATGGTGGGATCATATATACATATTATATAACATGAATTCGGATTAGCTGAATGTTTTAAATGTTTAGCAGGCTATGAAACCAATGATGAAGTTCCACGCTAGTAATAAATTCATGGTCCCACAATAAAAGATGCGGGCCCGTGCATTTAAATACTGACATGGAACTTTATCATTGGTTCCACAACCCACTGAACAGCTAAAGCATTCAGTTAAACTTTACTCACATAGGTGGCCAAAGTGGTTCCATTCGAGGTCGGTTTTTAAAACATTGCCCGAGACCCATGCCGCTCTTGTCACATTTCTCTTGATTTTTTGCTCCTTCATCCCAAAACCTTAACTAATGATTGTCCCAACCATTCTCTCTCTCTCTCTCTCTCTCTCTCTCTCTCTCCTTTACTTGCAGTAGCCATCACAAACAGAAAATGGGGATTTGATTGTGGATTTGTTACTTTTGCTATGCTTCATCTCAGGGACTCTTCCTATATATAGTTCCTTAGGCTGCGTTTGGAAATGATGCAAATATGTAGAGTATAAAACAGTTCATATAAATTGTAAAGTTGGGTTAATTTTGAACTGACAAATTTACTTCTTACCAAATAGACTTTTAGCTGTAATGGATTTAAACATGAATTTCAATAAAACATATGTTTTTTTTTATCAAAAGCCCACGTGAATGCAAATTTACTTATTTTTTATTGATGTACTTTTACATCTTATTATCAATGTAAATATGCATTGGTCTGTCATTTGTCGATGCATAAATAGGAAGAGAATAAATCCAGAAGCTACATGAGCCATTGAGTTCATTTACTCCATTAACGCAGGAACATTGATCATCAGATCAGTGCCATTTTGTTTTACATTAATTCTACTTTTCACCGGAGAAGGTGAAAATCATTTACTAGTCTTCAGAAGCAGTTTAGGAACAGAGGTAGATCCCTCGTCAGTGGCTTCTGCAAAAGGATTAAAACTGATGATCTCAGAACAAGTGGCCGGCACAGCGAAGAACGGGCACTGAATGAAGTTAGACCCAGAAGCATCCACGCAGAAGAAAACCTCCTTGAGCTGACTATAGCCTTCCTTGTCAGTAGAGCAGCTGACTGCAGGAGTATATCCAGTCGCCATTTCAATAGCTCCTTTGATTTAGTTCAAGCTGTAAAACTCCCCAATGGGTTTGATTCCTACAACCAAATTAATTCCATTGATTATTAGAAACAATTAACAGATGAGAAGATAACTCCTCATTCTGATATCTATTTAGTTTGTTACCTGCTTCCTCAAGTATTTGGAGTACATTCACTTTACTCTTCAGGTTGAGGCCTGCTTCAAAGTACTCACGCTGATCATTGAAAACAGAAAGTGAACAGGTTCCATATTTCTCCCACTGGTATGCCCACAATGACTCGCTGTTGCTGCTTGGGCAGGAATAGGATGGCCAGTTACGTTGCATTTCTCCAAGTATAGGCTTCAACTACACCATATAAAACCACACCACATATGGAATTGGACAAGTTAATAAGTTTATAAATTTACTCTAGCTAGGTATTAGGGTTCATTTGGTTTATAGTTCGAATCGAAATCGAAATCCATTGAAATAGAATTGGAATCARAATGATCTATTCCTTCTACTTGTTTGGTTCAGACGCCCAGGGGAGGGGGAGGGAGTGGCCATTCCCTCAAATGGGAAAATGCCATTTTACCAAGATTGAGAAAGGGATTCTGATTATGTCTAATCAAACAGTTGGAATTGAAATGAGTCATTCCGATTCTGATTCCAGAATCCGGACCCATTCTCACGAACCAAACGGACCCTTACTAAGGAAAGGGAAAATAGAACCTCCTGAGGATTGAAATTGCTGTTTGGGTCACAGTTCTGCATCACTGTCCCATTTTAGTAAACTGCGAAAAGCCCATGAATGGTAAAATCATATGCAGTCTTTCCAGTTGTTGGCAGGCAACAACCTTTTGGCGAAGCACAGAAGGAACCTTCCCACTAGATGAAAATAACAGAACAAAATGAGAAAGAACTTCCATGGTTAGAAAGACCAAAGCAAAGATAGAATGGAACACAGTTGATGATAGAACAGAAGCCTTGTATCATTGATAACTAGCAAGAATACTCACCACTAGCCCATAAAAGTATAATGAAAAAGCATGTGAAACACCAAAAGCTGCTAAATACTGTATAGCAAGAATGCTAAGGAGGAATGAAAATGTGGAAGCCATTACTCCTTCCCTTCTCTCCCTCACTTAGGCCACCCTTTTGATTTCTCTTTCTGGTTTGGTGATGTGCAGGGTGTTAGGATAGCATAGCCCCTATTTATAGGCATAAACCATATCACTTGGAAGAGTATTCTACAAAGTATTGGATTGGATGTGAGTATGTATTCCTTTGTTGATATTTTTTGGTGAGCAAAGGGGGTGGGTGGAATGTTGGACCATGGTTTTTAAAACCGACTCGGTGACTGAACCGGTCAGGGTCCAGTTACCGGGTCGGACCATTCAACCCGAACGGTTGGCTTATTCTAATAAAAAATTAAAAAATTTGAAAAACGGCCAAAACCGTTCGAATAGTTCAAACAGTTAACCAGCCGGTTCAACGGTTCATTGATCAAAATCGAAAAAACGGAACCAGTCAGATGGATTCCCAGTTTTTTCGGTCCGGTCCTGTTTTGAAAACCATGTGT